GATGGTGAACCTGGCGGCCATGGTGTGGCGCCGGCTTCTGCGGAAGAGGTGGGTGCTCGCCCTGGTGTTCGGGCTGTCGCTCGTCTATTTCCTCAGCAGCACCTTCAAGCAGGTCAGTGGCCGCCCGCCTCCGTCACTCCTCCCCTCCCTGCTTCCCTCCCTCCTGGCGTCTGTCTCCAGCCGTCCGACCTCTGCCCCGGCGCCGCCTGTGCGTCGGAGGGTCGGGAAGGTGGGTATTCCTGTCCCTGGCTCTGGACGGGCGAGGGGATCTGCCCATTTCCCTGGTCCCTGCAGCGGGACCAAGGCGTTGCCAGACCAGGTCTAGTGCTAAGTGGGGGGCGGCGTGCATGTTCCTTCTTCACCCCGCCACCAGTCATCCCGGAGAGGTGGGTGACCCTGTACTGCAGCGGGGGGAACCTAAGCTCGGAGAGGTGGTGATGGCACGGCCAGGAGGTGGCCGAGGCATGAAGCTGGCGTGGCTGCCCTTCGTTTAATTTGGCCCACCTGGGTAACTCAGCCGGACCCACAGGACGCCCTTTCTGTGCATAACTTAGTCGGGGGGAAGTTGCTTTCCACCCCCTCCACTCTTTAGTTTTTCTTCCATGTGAGAATTTTTGGGAGAAGCGGCAGGGATCTTTGATGGGAAATGTCACCCCAACCATTGATAAGTTCATTTCAAAGTCCAGCTTGAGAGCTTGCGTTTTTAGAAAGGGTGAGCATACCCCAGGGTGTACCCGGGTTAGCTTTGAGTTATGCTGTTGTCCTGATGTCGTTATAAAAAGCTCTGCTTTTCACTCTGAAGAACCAAGTTTGTAAATAAAATATATCATAGAGCATGAATAAAAGTATATGGTCACCCTCGTTTTAGTGGATTGGCAGGGCACCTATGAAGAGGAAAGAATAGGGAATTGTACCCCCCACCTTCCACCTTAGGCAAATAGAGAAGAGGTGGAGTGTGGTAAGCCACTTGTTGGCTGAGGTGTCTGGGTGATCATGTGAACTACCCCACTTCTATGACTTGTGTTTTCTGCCACCTCACAGACATTTTCTCACAATCATGTGTTGTGTTATGTACCAGGGCTCGTCCTCTGCTTTCCTTTCTACGTGACCCAGGTGATCTTTGAGGCTGTTGTATAAATGCCAGCTGTGGATACTCCAGTTAATCACTCCAGCCTAGATCTGTCCAGAAAACCTCATATTCTTATATCCAATTGCCTACTTGAAGTCTTTTTTTTAAAGTGTGCATTTCAGTGGTTTGGTTTTTTTTTTTTTTTGAGTTGGAGTCTTAACTCTGTCGCCCAGACTGGAGTGCAGTGGCCACTCCCGGCCACTGCAGCCTCGACGTGCTGGGCTTCGGCAATCCTTCTGCCTCAGCCTTCCAAGTAGCTGGAACTACAGGCACATGCTACCATGACCGGCTAATTTTTTGATTTATTGTAAAGAGGAGGTCTCGCCAAGTTGCCCAGGCGGGTCTCAAACCCGCGGGCTCAGGCAATCCACTCACCTCAGCCTCCCAAAGCATGGGATTACAGGCTGAGCCACCAAGCCCGGCTAGTGGTTTTAAATGCATTCATAATGTTGCACAACCATTGCCACCATTCATTTCCATAATGCTTCATCTTGTGAGAACAAACTTTGTATTCATTCAGCAACTCCTCATCCCCCCTTTGCCCATCCCCCACAGCCACCGCTCTCCAAAGTGATGTTGATGGTGCTCAGCCAAAACAACTTCTCTGCTGATGCTTATTTCTCTCCGAGTCGCCCCATGGCATTACTGTTCACCTGGTCTTTCAAGTTACACATACTTCACATTCTTTTCTTTCTCTCACCCCCTACATCCAGAACACTGATTCTGCCTCCACGATGTATCCTGAATCTTCATTTCTCCTCATTGTCACTGCTGCCACCCTGCGCCCTGCCGCCTGCGTCTCTCACCTAGACTATCGCGCCAACCGAACAGTGGGTCTCTGCTTCCATTCTTGTTGTATTCCCTATCCATGAGTAGGGATGATAGTCTTTAAAAAGATGGGTTTGTGGTAGCCCTCCATGTGAACTCTCAGATAAAACTCCAGATTTTGTCCTCTTTAAAAGTCAGTTCAGTAAGGCTGTTACTGCCTCAGGCTGTAGCTGGTGTCACAGTGTAAATAAATTCAATTCCTTGCCAAAAGCCTGCTCCATTTTCTTTGTAGGAATCACTAACTGAACATTTCTATTTCATTTACTTTTCTGTCTTACCTCACTCTCCCTTTTAGAATATAATTCTCCTGAGAACAGGGACTTTTCTGTCTTGTTTATAGACTCTCCAGCCTCTTAAAATACTGCCAGCCATTTCATGGGAATTCAAATATTGGTTGAACAAACAAGTGAGTCTTTTTAATTGGGATGACTCTTTTCAGTCTGGCATACTCCTGGCTGATTTTTCTTGTCTTGGCTCAGATGCTGTCTACTCTTTTTTTTTTGAGTCAGGGTCTTGCTCTGTCACCCAAACTGGAGATCTTGGCTCACCACAGCTCTGCACTTCTGATCTTAAGTGATCCTCCCCTCCTCAGCTTCACAAGTAGCTGAAACAACAGGCATGCACTACCACACCTGGCTGATATATGTGTGTGTGTGTGTGAATGTGAATATGTGAATACACGGTCATGTTATGTTACCAAGGCAGGTCTTGAACTCTTGGCCTCAAACAGTCCTCCCACTTAGGCCTCCCAAAGTGCTGGGATTATAAGCGGGAACCACCACACCCAGCCTGATGCTGTCTGCTCTGTAACCTTCCCTACTACCACCTGTTAAGGGCTCCAGCACAGCATCTTCATTTTTTTAATTAAAATTTTAACTAAATTACCATTTTCAGTAATAGTCGGGGATGCATTGTGAGAAATGTGTCCTTTGTCAATTTGGTCTTTGCGCAGCGATCACAGTGTGTAGTTACACAAACCTAGATGACAAACCCTCACACACTAGGCTCGCAGCACATTGCTGCACTGAAAACTATAGACATGTGTAACACAATGGCAAGTATCTGTGAATCTAAACATAGAAAAGGTAGAGTAAAAATGCAGTATAAAAGATGAAAATGGTCCACTTTTATAGGGCACTCACCGTGAATGGAGTTTGCAGGACTGGAAGTGGCTCTGGATGAGTGGGTGGTGAGTGAATGTCAAGGCCTAGGACATCGCTGTGCACTACTGGAGACTTCATACACACTGTACACCCAGGCTACCCTCACTTTAAGTTTTTCGTTCTTCAATAATACATTAACTTTAGCTCACTGTAACTTTTTTACTTTAATAAACGCTTACTTTTTGAAAACTTTCAGACTGTTTTGTAGTAGCACTTACCTCAAAACACAAACATTGTACAGCTGCACAAAAATATTTTTCTTTATATCCTTTTTCTATAAGCTGCTTTCTGCTTTAAAATTTTTATTTTATTTTTTCGTTTTTTAAACTTTTTTGTTAAAAAATTAAGACACATATACATATTAGCCTAGACCTATACAGGTTCATGATCATCAGTATCAGTGTCTCTACCTTTACATCTTGCTTTCTTCAGATATTTTACACACTTATTTCTAGTCATTATTATTTGCTTTATAGTTCCCTGATTTGGCGAAGTTGGACATCTTACTGCTTTTTGGTCATTTGACAGTTCAGCTCCTTAGATTATCTTATCATGTCCTTTGATCATTTTATTATTAGGTGTCTTTTTGTCATTTTATAGGAATTCTTTGGGATTAGATATATTATTCCTTTGTGAAGAATCAGGTTAGGAATCCGATTTTAAAACTCTCAGCTTGTAACTGTCATGATGGAGATAAAACAGGTAACATGTAGTGTTTGGTTTTGCTTGCCAGTGTTTTTAAAAACAAAATTTAAAATGTTTGAGATTTTATATAAATATTTTCTTCTGGCTTCTTTTGAAATTCCAGCAGATTTGCAAGAACTAGGTCTATGTTATAGTCTGGCAGTAGTTGAGGAACTAATTCAAGCTCATTCATTCATTCATTCATTTGTTCATTCATTCATTTATTTTGAGTTAAAGTCTGACTGTCACCCAGACTGGAGTGCAGAGACACATCACAGCAAGTAATCCTCCCTTCTCAGCCTTCCAAGTAGCTGGGATTGCAGGTGCATGTACCACACCTGGCTAATTTTAAAATTTTTTTTGTAGAGATGAGTTCTTGCTATGTTGTCCAGAGGGGTCTTGAACTCCTGGCTCAAGCAGTTCTCTCATCTTAGCCTGCCAAAGTGCTAGGATTATAGGTGTGAGCCACTGTGCCTGGCCCCAAGCTGCATTTTCTAGATTGGGGTCCCCAACCTCCGGGCCATGGACCAATCCGTGGCCTGTTAGGAACTGGGCTGCATGAGCTAGTGAAGCTTCATCTGTATTTACAGACACTCCCCATCACTCTCATTGCCACCTCAGCTTCATCTCCTGTCACATGAGCAGTGACATTAGATTTTCATAGGAGTCTGAACCCTGTTGTGAACTGTGCATGTGAGGGATCCTAGGTTTTGTGCTCATCTAATGCCTGATGATCCAAGGTGGAGCTGAGGTGGTGATGCTGGCACTGGGGAGTGGCTGCAAATACAGATTAACATTAGCGGTGAGGTTTGACTACACAGAGACCATTATAAACGAATTGCTTGCAGACTTATATCAAAATCCCATCAGTGAGCGGCAAGTGAGTTGATGTGCTTCTGTTGTACAGCTGCATCTGGTGGCAGCCTTTAAGTCAGAATCCGACTCTTATTTTAGTCTGCACATAGCCCACTTCCATTCGTGCCTCTTTTCTTTTTTAATGGTGAGTTGTATAATTATTTCCTTATATATTAAACCATAATAATAAAAATAAAGTGCACAATAAATGTTCTGTGCTTGAATCATCCCAAAACCCCTCCCCCCACCCCCACTCCATGGAAACATTGTCTTCCACAAAACTGGTCTCTGATGCCAAAAAGGTTGGGGACCACTTGCTGCTTTAGATCATGGGGTCTACTCCCTTATGTCTCCTGCCTGACCTCTTGTGGTTTTTATCAGGGTTGCTCACAAGGGCTTGGTCATCCTCCTCTGGGCACATGGTGGGGTGGCTCCTACTCTCTTTGAAGGTAG